AAAAGTTGTGTATGAATTATTATTGAATGCATAGATAGATATTGCTTGTACATCTTTTTATAGACTATATTTTCGTTTTTGTATATATATAAGCCAAGAATAAGATTTATAATTTGTATCTAGACGCTATGAACTTTTGTTTTATTATGTGGATTTTATTGGGAAGTTTTTGGTGTAATATTAAAAACTTAGTAATGAGTTTCAGGCGTTCATATCATACCTTTGTGATCTACTTAGGATTCATTTTAGTTAAAATTGATCACTTCTTATTAAATATTCATTTTTCTTGACACATCATATCATTCATTACACATGGGAAAGAAATTATTCAATAACCAAAACCATTTGACGTTTTATTCTTTTTTCTTTTTTTTTTCAGCAACGAATGGCTGATCTATTACTCAAGCTTGAGGTGGTCTGGGAAGGTAGACCGGAATAGAACAACCAACATACAATAAATCTCGATAAAAGGATCGAGCAGATTTAGCTAAAGAGTCAGCAACACCATTCTGCGTTCTAGGAACATAGAAGATCTTGAAATCTGGAAAAAAAATCTGCAGCGTCATGATATTTTCTAACTCCGTTGAGAAAATTGGCCAGCCATGAGGATCTCTAAGCATCGCTATTAACTCCTTGCAATCCGTCCCAAAACTCTGACATGGCGAATGTTGAAGTATACTGTCCATTGCCCACTGCAGTGGTTCCAGCTCATAGTGGACAGCGTACTACACTAGAATTAAATTACGCATACCCATTAGCTGGCTATTTTCCATACTGTCTTTCCAAACCCATCCACAGCCACTGAATTGAGCTGTATGTGTCCAAGAACCGTCAACCATACAGATATCTCCTAAACTTATTGTCTGGTTGTTGATATTTATGTTCCCTTGATCTGACAATATAATCTGTTCATTTGCTTGGAACCAGGCCTAGCACTCGCTCTCTGCATACCGGGCTATCTCTATTGGGTCTCTATCAATACCTCTGAACAGCTTATCGTTTTGAGCCTTCCAAATATACCAAATTAGCCAGGGATAAGGGTCCATGTCCATTTCCGGCTCCATTATGGAATTTTTTTCTCCAGAAGAGATAATCCATATTTGCATATGTGCTTTGTAATGGAAACAAGGTAGGACTAGAAGGCGTAGAAGGCCCAAACTTGCATTGCGGGCGGACACTGAAAGATTGCATGTGCAACTGATTCTTCTACCTCTCCATCATGGACAGTGGTTATCACATCTCATATGTCGATAGTTTAGAGTACTTATAACAGCCACATGACCTGTTATTATTTGTCACAAATGATGACTTATCTTCTGGGGTGCCTTAACCTTCCAAGCATGTGCCTGGAGTTTTGTGATGCTAGGTTCACAAACTGCAAGTTCCTCCTCCTTCTTCAGTATATTTCGTGCAACTCAATATCCAAATTTGACTGTGTATTGTCCATTTCTTGTATAACTCCAACAATACGTATCCATGCGATGTAATGAACTAATCGCCATGCTCCTAATAAGTGGTATATCAGCCCCATCTATGTAGTTCTCCAACCGGTTCAGATCCCAAGACTTGGATTCTTGGTTAATGAGGTCGCTCACTCGCATATTCGGATGTAATACCGGTGCAGATGGGACCACTAATCGCGCTGGAATGGTAGGGATCCATGGATCCTCCCATACTCTTACCTCGTATCCCGAATATATCTTCTGCCTAATCCCCAACATTAATAATTGTCGTGCCTCTGATATACTTGTTCACACATACGATGGGCTACTGACAGTTGCTGTCAAAATGGCGAGCTTGATCGATAATACCAGCCTCTGAAAACCTCAGCTACCAATGAAACTGGGAATTGAACCAATCTTCATAACTGCTTTGCTAACAGCGCCAGGTTAAACTCGTGAATCATTCTAAACCCAATCCCTCCTTCTTCTTTAGATAGGCATAACTTATCCCATGTTGACCAATGAATACCTCTCTTTGGGGGATTCGAACTCCACCAGAACTGTGCAATGGCACTAGCTAAAGCATCACAAATCTCTAATGGAAGAAGGAAAAAGGACATCACATAAGTCGGGAGTGCTAACAAGATCGACTTAATCATAACTTCCTTGCCACCTTTTGATAACCATCGGCCGTCCATCCATTCACTCTATTCCGTAGCTTATCCTTTAAGAATGCAAAAAGTTTGCATTTAGATCCACTGATATCCTCTGGGATTCCTAAGTATGTCCCCATCCCTTCTTCATTCTGAATCTCAAGTGTGTCTTTAATCTTTCGCCTAGCATCCTGTCCAATTCTCTTTTCAAAAAGTAGAGATGACTTATCAATATTAATGAATTGTCCTGAGGCTTTTCCATATTTTCTGACCACTCTTATTACTTCTTCACATTCACGGGGCTCCGCCTTACAAAAGAACAGGCTATCATCAGCAAAGAGAAAGTAGGATACCGAAGGCCACGCACGCGTGATCCGCATCCCCATTATCTATCCTTGGTTCTCTGAGTGATTTAGAAGACTAACGAACGCTTATGTGCATAGAATAAAAATGTTTGGCACACAACATAACAAATAATATCATATCGCTTTGGGTGCAAACATAGAACATTAATTATTATAAATAAATTATTTGAATAAAATATACTATCACACATAATAATATTTACTGTATCACCTTTTATTTTTTGAATATTTCCTATTTTACCCTAACAAAATCTTAGATAATATTTTACTTATTAATTTTAAATAATTTGTTAATTCGTAATTAATATTAAATATTATAAATAAAAAATATTAAAATATTAAATAAAATTACCATTTTATAATATATTATTTTAATATAAAAATTAGAATAGTAAATTTAATTTTAATAAAAATAAATTATAAAAAGTACAAAGTTATATTGTTAGTTATATGATTTTTAGTGTACAATTGATGTTTTATGGTTGTAAATTAAATAAAATAAATTTATCTTACTTAATATAAAAAATCATTACAATAAATTTTGATCAATAAGAAATGTATAAAAAAATTTTAACATTTTTATTAGAAAACATAAAAAACTTAATGAAAGGGGGTTAAATCGATAAATTATTCTTTTCGATTCTTATATAGATATATTTATTTAAAATTTAAATAAAATATTAAAATACAAATAAATTAAATATTAATATATGTTGTTTCATAAAAAATATAAAAATCATAAATAATTCTATATTAATAATATCGAACAAAATATATTAAGTTACATAATTTAAAACACAAAATTCTAACAATATATTTTATCAAATTGTCATAAAAATTAAATATAATAATAAAAATAAAAATATATCTGCGCGGACGCGTGGGTTAAAACTAGTATCTAGTATATTATTAAAAGGGGACCAATCCTGAATATGTACTTAAACAAGATTGTTGCACCTATTCATTATTAGTCTAACTTATTATGTAAAACCAAATATTATAACTAATCCCTTGTTATAGTAATCAAATAATATCTTCTAACATTCAAATATACCACTTTAATTCATTATTAGTCTAAGCTATTATATAAAACTAAATATTATAACCAACATTTATTATATCAACCAAATAATATATATCTTCTAACATTTAAATAAACTACTTTAGTCTTTAATTCACTCAAGGCTTTACATAATGTATTTTGAAAATTTTATTTTATACCGGTAATTCAAGATTATAATAAAAAAGCCAACATTTTTCAAATATCTATAATACCAAAAACATATCTAAATTATCCAAATATACCTACTACACAGAAAACATTTTAAATATTTTGGGTATCCGATTAGGTCGCGGATAGATTCCCGCGGGTAAATATACAATATAAGTATTTTTTTTCTTCTTGGACCCGGACCCAAAAAAATAAGTTGTATTTTTGGGTCGACATCGATTTGGCTTTTCGGGTTTGGTTAAAATGCCCATACACAAGAGAGAGTTAAAATGTGCATTTAAAATTTCAAATAAAATAATTTTTAAATTGAATAATTTTAAGAAATCATCCATATAATAAGATTTTGTAAAATAATAATATACAACAATCCCAAAATAATAATTTATATCAAAATTTGTTATAGTAAAAAAAAATGTGCTCGAACCCACATATGAAAATATAGTATATCCATATATACAATGAATGTTTCATACAATCCCAAGTGAATATTAACAACTTTTGTGTGTGCAAATGATTGAGATAAGAGTAGATATAAATACCAAATTAGTACATAGATCCACATGAGCATATTATTCATCAAAAACACTTTCATATGTATACAAACATTATTAAGTTTTAGGATTAAGTAGCAGCCTCAGGCTCTACCTTTTCCTCCTTTTTGTCTTTGTGGCGTCTGCATAATAAAACAACATTCAATCTTGTGTATTCTAATCCCAGATACCTTCATCCAGAAATTCAAGATGTAAAAGAATCTTTAGAATCAGCCAGCAGAGAAAACATATCAGCAGGCATCTTCTGGTGTGAAGAAATATGTTAATATTAGGACAATACATAACACAAAATTTTCTCCCATAGGCGTACACACGTGAAGCACAAGATGACCCTGCATGGAACTATGCGAAGTCAACAAGTGATGAACAATAACAAAAAAATTAAACTTAAAACTTCTTTCATTTAAATTTCACACGGGACCAACCTGAAGGCCAACTAAAAACTTTTTACCTTCTATTACAGTGAAAAACTTAAATGGAATGTGTCCCCATCAAGTTGTACAGAAAGCAATATCAATTGACCTTAGCATTGTGAACCTTTAAAACCTTATAGCTGACATGAAAGCTATTGTGACCATCACCAACCTGGATGTGTCTCTCTACACCAGGAAGTATGACAAATAGGTATATTCTGTATGTTTAATAGATAAGTTGCAAAAATCAAAGATATTGTAAACACATAAACCATATTCTGATCAACAATATAAGGAAATACTCTAAATATTAACTAACTTTTAGACATATATACAATGAATGTTGGGTACAATATCAAGTAGAAATTAACAACTTTTGTGTGTGTGTAAATGATAGAGATAAGGGTAGATACAAATACCAAATCAGTATATAGATCCACATGAGCATATTATTCATCAAAAACACTTTCATATGTATACAAACATTTATTAAGTCTTAGGATTGGCGAGAATAAAATCACTCTTAGAAAAACGATAAGAGAAACAACAGTGGATAGGAAATACACAGAAATAACATAGGCATTTAAATATTTGGATCTTAGTTCTTGCGAAGAACGATGAGGTACTGCATTCCCGGTTTGGCGTTCTTGATGCGAGTTATCTGTTCTTGTGCTTTGACCTCGACAAGCTCAAATGCTTTCCTCATTGCTTCAACTCCAAAATGTGCAGATAGAAAAGCTCCATAGGACGCCCTGAAAGAGACGGCCAAGATCTTTGGGTCTAATGGAAACTCCCCATTTGGATGAATGATATCCTCAAAAGCCTCGATTGTAAACTTCCCATTCTCATCTATGATTCGTCTTATTTCGCCTTCTTCGGCAACGTAGAGAGGGGTGCTGAAAGAGTCTACCTTGTCCTGGTCGATGATACCCTTTTTAAACCAAAAAATAATTGAAATGAAATGTTAGCTAATGTAAATTTTGGTAAACAATCAAGATCAAAACATATATGTACCTGTTGAGCAAGATCATTAAGAGACTCGCCGATGAAATCCATCACTATTCCTTTAGAGGTCTCAGACATCTTGTCCCCATCTCTTAGACAAGATCCAAAAAGCAACATCAGTCCACCAGACACAATCTCTTCAGCTCTAGCATCTAATAGATCCTTGGTGTCTGCCGAGTATTGATCAAGATAAGCCTTCTTGACTGCTTCATTGAATCCAGTGCAGTGCATGTCTCTGTTCCATGAGGGAGAGTCACGGTCCGTGATCCCCTTTGGGATTTTGGAGGTGAAATGAAATGCATAGTTGATAACTCCTATGTGGAAACTCTTCTTAGGAAGAACACGCTCGAAGAACGAACCTGGAACCCCGGCACTATAATATCGTCTGCCTGCAGGGAGTGCTTGGAAGAGGGTATTGAAATCGTTGTTGGTAAAGTCGTTAAAGAGGACTTGGAACTCGATGTTGTCCACTGGGTTTTGTCCAGTTTCTTTTTTATATTTTTCTTCTACAGCATCTATTATGTTCTGGACTGCCACAAAAGTGTTGGGTCCACTCGCACAACCGAAATCCGCTACATAGAAGCGATCGGAAATCAATTCGAGACTTAGTTTGGCTGAAATAATCTCGCTCATCTTTTCCTTTGCTGCATCCAACAATGCTCTCTGTACAACAAGATCAAAGAGAAGATTAAATGTTAATACATACATCACACACACATACATAAATACATGCATACATATCGTTCATAATGTTTCAGTTACATATATAAACCTGATATGAGGAATTCTGGTTGTAACTCTCAGGACCTTCTCCTCCAATCATGACCCATTCTGGAGTAGTTGACATGNAAGAGAAGATTAAATGTTAATACATACATCACACACACATACATAAATACATGCATACATATCGTTCATAATGTTTCAGTTACATATATAAACCTGATATGAGGAATTCTGGTTGTAACTCTCAGGACCTTCTCCTCCAATCATGACCCATTCTGGAGTAGTTGACATGATAGATCTCTCTTTCTCTTCTCTCACTCTGTTTTTTCTTGTTTAATAGTGATTTGTAATGAGAACTGTGATTTTCTATGGATCTATGTATGCACATTTATACTAATATCACTGTAATTATTAAAATATTCAAAAGCATCATATGGATCACGATATGTGCAAAGGCATCGTAAGGATATATATTTTTATAAGGGCATTATTAATTAAAAACTATTCTGCGCTGTACCTGTTTATTTTGACCCGAACTTTAATCTTTACACTATATAACATACTAAAACGTACTATATGTGAGTTTTTAAAACATAACAAACGTGCCAAAAATTTATAATAACAATATGTTTTATTTTCTTTATTTTGATGCAATGACAGAAAATGTTTTGAATATATAGAGATATGCTCCCTGTCGTATGCTTGTAGTTTAGCGCAACAATAAAATAAAGTTTGGACGTCTGAATATTATTTCAGCAGAACAAACTTAATATAAAAATGAAGTGTGAGAAATTGATAGAAAAAAATAAATAGGAACAAATTGAAAATGATGAGGGATGATGATTTCTTATCAAAATAAACAAAAAACAAATTTACTCTAAAATTCTCTACAAAAAAACAGAACGAGAAAAAAATGAAAAAGAAAAACTATTCCTCATGAATGGTAAATTTTTACAGGAATATTAAATAATGTAGTGTTCCTCATAATTCCCTTAGTTACCATTCAAAGTCTAATTTTTTTTTAGAACACAATTTATTTAAGGAAAAATAAAAATTGTTTAATACAAATAAAAATAGAATTATATACCATCTTTAATGAAAAGCATAAACTACAATAACAAAGAAAAATGAGAAAGATGGGTCTTCATAAGTGGATTATAGAAAATTTAAACCAAAATATGAAGGGTGATTTGCCAAATATGAATAAAATTTTGAATTTACGATTATAACGCTACGCATGAAAAGACTTTCTGAGAAGTCTTATAAAAAACCTTACCTAAAAGTCTTCTTACACAATAGATCTTAAAAATAATTTATAAAGTTAGTAAAAGAATATTTTGATTAGAAAAATTCATATAATCATGTACTTATAGACATTTGTAAATGATGTAAATTAGGATATACTAAAATTGAATATTTTTTAACATAGATGAGTGAATGTAAGTTGAGTCATGATATTATTTGGTTGATGATTGTGTAACTATGTTATAGTATTGTTTGTGTTTTTAGGGTTAGATTGTGAAATCTGATTTTTCTTTAAATAAAAATTAAATTTCATATATATGTGTTTAGTTTTGTGTATATTAAACACTTTATAAGTTATTATAAATTTAATGAAGTTTTTATTTGTGATAGTTAAATATTTGGTTTTGGGGGTTTGGAAGACTTCTCAAAATCAAATAATGTACTCGAAAACTTATTGGAAGATTTAACCGCAAAGTCTACCATTTTTACAAAACAAACTGAAAAATAAATAATTTCAAATATTCTTTGTAATAAATATATTTAAATATGGATATATTTTTTTAAATGAAAAAACGGAAATAATTTTAAAAATCATAAACTGATCAGTTTATATCATATTTCAAATATTTTTATATGAATATATTTTTGTAAATGATAAAAAGAAATAATTTTAAAAACATAAACTGATCCATTAATATCATGATTTTCAAAGATGTGTATATCTTATTACTATCTTAACCCAAATAAATATTTAAAAATGTGAGGCTGAATAAAAACATAAAATACTATTTCTTACTATGACTATTTTTTATTTGAGAAGTGACCTTTCTATGTGTCGTGTTCACGCTAACTCTTATAATGGTTGATTACATTGATACCATTAGTAAATTAAATTAATTATTATAATTGTCATTAACTGTTTTTTTTTATTTTTCTACTAAAAATTATACCAAATTGCCACTAATAACAACTATTTTATTTCCTTTTTTATTAATAAATCTTTTCTTAAATTTTAATTTTAGTTTTTCGTTTTTAAAAATTACAAAAAGGAATTAGTTTTAAAATAGAAACATACATATTTTATATATATGTAAAGGCATTTTAGTTTTAGTTTCACAAAACAACATAAATAAAACGAAATATCTGCATACTTTAAATTTATATACACACATATATATATACATATATATATATAACATAACTTTACAAAACAAATTGAAAAAAAATATTAAGTTTAAATATTCTTCAAAAAATATTTTTAAAATTGAATAAAATTTGGTAAATGATTAAAAGGGAAATACTTTTTAAAACCATAAACTTATCAGTTAATATCATATTTGAAAGATTTTTATTATGAATATATTTTGGAAAATGATTTAAAATAAAATAATTTTTAAAAACATAAGTTGATCAATTAACATCATATCCTTCAATGATGTGTATATCTTATTACTATCTTAAATCTAATTAAATATTTAATAATGTGAGGCAGAATAAAAAGATAAAATACAACTTCATACTATGAGTATTTTGATTAAATAATTAATTTTAATAATGAAAAAATTTTATCATATAATATAAGATCTTAATAAAAAGTTATGTAATGGTAAATTTAACTAAAATAAATAAATTTAAAATTAAACTTAAAATTCTTGTTGTTACTTTATTTGAATTGAATAAGACCAAATTTACAGAAACAACATTATATATAGTTTTTGTAATTTGTGACCAATGAACTTTCAAAGTAGTAGTGATTTGTTTTGTTTATGCAGCTCTAAATCTCTCAACACTTCTTTATTTAATTTTATCAAAAAACATTATATTTCAAATTATAGATAATTTTACAAAATATATTTATAAACCTAAGAAGAAAACTAAACAAATCTTATTAACAACATTATTCTTGTTTTAGTCTAATTACACCAAAAATAAAATTTATTTCAAAAGAATTGATAAAAAATATATATGAAATTATACAAAATTTTATGAAATATTATAGATATAAGAAGATGAACTGAACTATTCAAAATTAAGAAAACAATAATCTAATTTTAACTTAAGATATTCAAAATATATACTTGAACCGATCCACAATATTATAACTTAAATCACTTATCTAATTAAAATGAAGGGGTCATAATAACATTTAATACAATTTTCAATTATTTATCATACAAGTTAATTACAGAATTATTTAAAACTTATAAACAATTGAAAGATATTGTAAATTATTACAATTTATTATTTAATAAATGTTTATTCCCTTGCATGAATATATGAAAATCACCTAGTGAATTAATAAATGGCTCGAACAAGTAGGATGTTAACGTACTAGCCAGGTAAGAAGATATAACACTATTTTCTAATCCATGTTGGCAACAGCATTCACTTCGATGAGTTGTAAGTTTGAATAAACACATAGTTTAACAAAACAACATAGGTGTAAGATTATATAATCCCTGATCTCTTTTATTTGACATTTTAGATATAAAAAATACTAAATACATTTTGATATAAAAAATATAAAATATTATAAAAGAAAATAAAAAACAACGTGAATTAGTTGACACGGTCAACTTTTTTTCTTCGTTTAAGAGTTCTTGTTATAGGAATTAAATGGTTGAAACTACAGATTAAAAATTTGTAGTTTTATATTTTTTTGCTCCAGAAATCAGATTTTAGCTTTTTAACTGTGTTTATATTTATATTTATTTATAAGATATTAAAAGCTCTAAATGAAAACTATTAGAAAATTTGATTTTGAGAGCTAAATTTTGATATTTTGTTTTAACTGTAGATTCGTTTTCTATAGTTATAAATATATTTTTTCAAAAGAAATCTCTAGGAATAAAAATGAATGTCTATAGCTTATGTCCCAATCAATTTGACTTTAACTTCTTTATAACGTTTGACCGTATTGTTTAGTTTTTAATTAAGGATAACTGTTTCAAAATAAAGTTTTAAGAATAAAATAGGTTGTTTATAGCTTCTCCGAATTAAGCATGCAGTTAATTTATGATGACAACATCCATATTCTATATGCACATTTATACAAAGATCCCTCGTGCTTTCGCCTTGGTTAAATGAGAAAAATATGACATAACTTTTTTTTTAAATGACATAACTTTATAGATTAATGCACATATAAAAATAGGTATATCATAATATAGCCACCGACTCTGCGGTGTACTTGTTATGGGTATACCATAATATAGCGACCGACTCTGCGCTGTATTCCTTTTCAAAACACGTTTTCGTTGGGATTATTTATTCGGTTATTCCGCCCAACAATAAAACGTAGAAAAAGTAGGTAACGTATCATTTTCTAAACAAAATTGTTTCTTTTAATATGTATGAAGATGCCTCCTGTATTTGTAACTAGTGCATGTAAACAAATCTTTGTTTTACTCTACATCTTGACGATGAATCTCCGTATATTAGATAAACTAGGTAGTGATCTCTTTATGTATGCAAAATGAAATCCATTTTATACTAAAACACAAGTCATTTGGCCAATCAAATCTTGACATAAAACATAAATTTGAAAAGAAAAAATGTTGATAAATAATCGACAAATAAATTTTCGATCCAGATTTTGTAAAGCAAAAATAACTTTTCCTAAAATCTCTCACATTTATCACCATGTTCTTGAAACTTTTTATCTTCTATATATTTCTCTCTCTCACCGTCTCTCTTTCCTCTTCTCCATTTACTTTTTTCTCTTACGATTTTCATTGATCTAAAAACAATTTTTACAAATTTTACGATTACTTTTGATTATTTTTCAGTAAAAGAATAAAAAATCAATTTTTTATCAACAATACTCTTATCAACAAAATGAGTATTTATATATCAATTCTTTCAATTTCTTATATTTATGAAACTTTTTGCTTTGCTTTTGCATCTAAAGAAATACAGGAACACAGAAGAAAGGAGACAAAAGACAAACAAAACAAATAAAAAAATTTCTCTAACAAACTTAAAACAAGGGCAGAACGTCTATAATCCTTGAACAAGTGGTATGTAGTTCTTCTCTTATTTTACTCTTTAGATATCTTTTATATTTTTATGTTGTTTATGTATTTTGAAAAAAAAAATCATATATAATGGCTAACAAACAATAACAGGATGCTACTATATCGAGTAAAAAGAATATTAACAACTAT